TGAAAATTAAGCTGAATAAAATAATTTAAGACAGCAGAGAAGATAATTCTGTTTTAATTGTTTATTACTAAGACTTAAATAAAGAGTGAGCTATTTAAACTGTAAATTTATGATGTTTCTAGTCTGGTCAAAGGGTCAGAGTGTCCTACTTAATCAAACGATAAATTGTTGAAATTAGATAACATGTTTTCACGTGCAGAGATATTTCACTTATGACCAGTGCATATTTGGATTACATTTTTCTTATTGGTCAATGATCTTGCGGGGTCAGCACGTTTCACGTGTAAGTGCGTTGTGGTCACTTCTTTTTATCATCAGCATTTGATGTGTTAACTTGTGATTCTTATCAAACAATTTGTTAAAATTTTTAATTTTATGGATAATTTTGGACTGGAGTGATTTTCTTTTATCAATTCGAGGTAAAATCGAACTATACTTTTATTTTTTAGCTATTTTATGCTTACATTCTGAACAAACGTACAGTTTATTTTTTACCATTCTTCCATTCGGATAGATCTCACGATTTTGATTTATGCAAAACATGTAGCAGTTAATTGGTCAAATTCATTTCTTTGTCTAAGAGATAGTGGGTCAAATTAATTTCGGTGTTGGTGGCGACACTGTGCGTTTGCGATCAAAATGTAATTATGTACCATACTTATAAAAATGATAGCTGATGATTAACCTGATGTTGTAATTTTACAAGTTACGGAATCCTTAATAGCATCCCAATGTTTGCAGAACGTATATCCGCCTTGTGTATCTGTAGGAGACATGGTTCATTTAAATTTAACTACAAATACAATTTTTTTTTGCATAACGATAATAATACCATACATGATAGAATGCAAAGTTACACACTTATATACGATGTTATTCACGATTCCATACATGTAAACACTCTCATATGAAAGAGCAAGACAGTTTAAGTTTTAAGGCTATGCTATTATTTTTTGGGCTACAAACCCATTTGCCTTACTTGTTTGGGTAAGGTGGACGATATTTCAATTGGTGCAGAGAGCTTGGTTGCTTGTACGTATGACCTCTGTGTATTTCCTTTTGCAATTATGTTTTATGTAGTGTTTTATGCTATGTCACGAAACTCATGCTACTTTCGTAAATCTCGTCACGGTGGTTTGTTTTGAGCTTATATTTTTTGCAAGATAGCCTAATCGCTATTATTGTTAGTATTTTAATTAATGCAGGTGTACCTTGTTTGCTTAATATTAACGGTATAAAAAGGATATGTCTCTTACCTATATCGCAACCCAATGCTTATTTATTACGAACCAATTTACCTGTCTTTGCCTGTTAGGGTAATGTGGACGATATTTTAATTTTTGCAGAGAGCGAGGTTGCTTGTACTTATGCCCTCTGTGTATTTTTTTTGCAGAGGTCCAGTAGCTTGGTCTATGACCTCTGTGTATTTACTTTTTAAAATATGTTATTATGTAGTAGGTATTGTTTTATGCTTCTTCATGAAACTCATGCTACTTTTGCAGAGGTCGTAGTAGCTTGGTCTATGACCTCTGTGTATTTGCTTTTGTAAGTATGTTAGTATGTAGTGGGTATTGTTTTATTCTTCGTCATGAAACTCATGCTACTTTTTTGCAGAGGTCGTAGTAGCTTGGTCTATGATCTCTGTATTGTTTTATGCTTCGTCATGAAACTCATGCTACTTTTAATTATTATTTCGTCATGGTGATTGGTTTGGAATAAACTATTTTTATAATCAATCCTTTTGCTACATACAAAATTGCCAGTATTTTGAGACATGTAGCTAGATTCACATGTTTGTCTGTTTATAACACATGTTTTTAATGTATTATTTTATTATAATTATGTTTACTAATATAATTCATATACATGATATAGTTTGGGTTGCGATGAACGTATTTGATAATTTTTATGTTAATACTTATGCATTGTAAGGTCGTTTGCTTTTACTTTATACTAGATTTATTATTAAAAATAACAATGGACAAGACATACTGATAATATTTTAAAGTTCATACTCTTCATTTAATACATAATATATAAAAATCATGTCTGTTAAATGATTGATTATTGAGGAAGAAGAAACTATGATAATTAAATCATCGCATACTATTCCTTAACATGCGTTATGTTTGTGGTCCTAGAGTAAGATCAATGAGAATTTAAGTTTTTCTATTCTTTTACATTCTAATTCTGTTTATTTCATGCTTTAACAAGGGACAAAGACCGCTGAGTCTGGTATTGATCTACGAAAGAACTTTTTCCCATTGAAGGAAATGTGCAATAAAGCGTGATATCAACAACTTACATATACTTTCATATATCAGCGGTATGCCATAGTTCCGATAATACAAACATACGAATGTGGATGGGTTGCTGTTTCACTGATATTATTTAATGACACATACCTAATTTCGAGATTAGAGTTTTGATCCAGACGTGCGAGTCATATCAACAAGAATCGTTGACTTACCAAAGCCTACTTTGACTGTTTTATAAATACAAATTTACAAAATACGACTTCGATCAGCATTTGGATACACAACTGGACCCTAGTTCCAATGAAAGTCCAAAGCACCAATTGCTATTATTCCACCATCTCTTTAAAGTTGGCTATGTCGTTGTCTTGGACTCTCGTAACTATACAGCACTTAGTTTTAGAAGAAGGAAAAAACAAAGACTTCTGCTGCAGTTCATGGATGGAATTGTCCTATCCGTGATTCAAGGATTGCAGTCAAATGCGTTTATGGAATTTTACAGCATAAAAAGAATTAAGTAAGTAACAGAACTTTGTGCTTCAGCTGTTTCGGGTCAGTATTGCCTGACAAAACGTTTATGATCTTTATTTCATACATTTACAACTATCTTGTTTTGGGTCAGCATTGCATGCCAAACGTTTTATGATCTTTATTTCATACAATTACAACTGTCTTGTTTTGGGTCAGCATTGCCTGCCAAAACGTTTAATGATCTTTATTTCATATAATCACAACTGTCTTGTTTTGGGTCAGCATTGCCTGACAAAACGTTTACTAGTATATGATCTTTAGTAAAAAAATGCAATGCTTCTGTTTTGGGTCAGTATTGCCTGCCAAAACTTGTATGCTCTTTATTTCATACAACTACAACTATTTTGTTTTGGGTCAACATTGCCTGCCAAAACGGTTTATATGATTTTTAGTAATAAAATGCTATGCTTCTGTTTTGGGTCAGCATTGCCTGTCAAAACGTTTTATGATCTTTATTTCATATAATTACAAATGTCTTGTTTTGGGTCAGCATTGCCTGCCAAAACGTTTAATAGTATATGATCTTTAGTAATAAAATGCTATGCTTGTTTTGGGGTCAGTATTGCCTGCCAAAACGTTTATTATCTTTATTTCATATAATTACAACCGTATCTTGTTTTGGGTCAGTATTGCCAGCCAAAACGTTTATGATATTTATTTCATACGATTGGGGTCTATATTGCCTGCCCTCCTGCCGATGCTGTCTTTACACATTATTCAGACTGTCAATGTGGACATTTGATAGGCTACCATTAAATTGTATTTCTTTTTTTAATTTTATGGCTCGGTTTAACTTCTTGTATGTATACATGCATTGTTCGTAAATCATGTTATGGTTTTTAATGTTGCCTATTTAATTCAAATTCGTAATTATTCAAATTATATATATATAAAAAAGTACTTTATGGTTTATCCCTATGATGTACTAAATGCTATGGGCTTTAGAAGTAAACCCATCACAAACTAATGTTTTTATATTTAACTAAACTGGTTATTAATTATATGGATTTTTCTCTTTCGAGAAAAAATTTAGAGTATGCGTCAAAAGTTATAAATATTTACTCGGTTAAAATTTACATCATTTAACATTCATCATGTTCATCGCAAGGTAAATAAAAATTATACGAAAAATCACTAAAAGCTGGAATATTATTTCAAAGATATTTTTCATTTTACAACTTTATTACGAGCATATACAATATAAACCTTTTAAAATGTAGTGCATTGGAATATCAGTATGTTCAGAATAAGTTCTGTAGCATGCCAGGAAGAAAATGAATATGAATTTGTTTTATGTATAGCAATATATTTATTTTATATATTTATTTATTTATTTATTTATTTATTTATTTATTTATTTATTTATTTATTTATTTATTTATTTATTTATTTTTATTATTATTATTATTATTTTCAATAGAAAAATCAAATTCCCGATGTATATTAAGTATATTTTAAGTGTAAATTAAAAGTCTATCTATGCTGGATAAGTAAGTTTGATGGATTCCCGTTATTTTTATAGTGGTATTACCGATATAAATTATTACTATTAATATTGAATGGTGGTATTCACCAGTCATTAAATTTCTAAAAAGCTGTATATTCAAAATTATGACTAAAGCTTAACGTTTTACCGAATCATGAGTTACGCAAAATATTTCTAAACTCTCATATCAATAATAACAAAAATAACTGAGAGTTAAAAAGGTCTACATTAGATACTTATTTTCAAATTTCAATTTAAAAACCTTTTCCTTAAGAAATTTAATAAATCTATGATCTTTATACAATTTTGATTGAAAAATGTCAAGTGTAGAATGAGAATCAGTTGCTCATGATCCCATATAGAAATAGTCGGATATAAAACTTTGTATTTAGAAAGGATCCAGGGCTTCGTAAAAATGTACTTCTATTTTGTTTGAAGATTTAAGATTAAAGATAAAGTTCAGCCTGGGGCCGTGTCAACGAAGCGGTTTTAGGACTAGGACGTGTCTTAGGGTGGTCTTAGGACACGTCTTAGTCCTAAGTCAGGTTAACGAAAGTCTCCTAAGTTAAGATATGTCCTAAATTTGGTCCTAAAGTTAGGATATATGAATAGGTGTCTTAGGATGGTCTTAGGATAGTCCTAAGAGTTATGATGTCCTAAGTTGAAATAAAAACAAAAAATATGGCCGCTGGGTATGTTCATGTAAGAAGGCGAGCGAATAATATTCGCCGAAACAGAGTGTTTAGGGACAGAGACAATCCATTAGACTATTTGGACGATGCTGATATTGTACGTAAATATAGACTTTCAAGACCAATGATTCTAGAACTTTGTGGAATGTTCCAAAATGAGCTCGCAAGGCCGACTAAAAGGTCCCATGCATTTCCTGTCTCATTACAAATAATGGTAGCCCTAAGATTTTATGCGACTGGGAGCTTTCAACTGGTTAATGCTGATGTCCATCGTATTTCTAGAGCTAGTGTTTCTACTATTACACGTGACGTCACACAATGTTTGAAAAATGTATGCAATCAATACATTTCGATGCCCACAGATCAAGCATCTCTTCAAGCTTTAAAGCAAGGTTTTTATGACATTTCAAATTTTACAAATGTTATTGGTGCTGTTGATGGTACTTATGTGCGTATCAAAAGCCCAGCTGTTGATGAACACTTGTACGTAAACAGAAAAAATTACCACTCGCTTAATGTAATGGGAGTTTGTGACTCAAACTTGAAGTTTTTAAACATTGTGGCAAAGTGGCCTGGTAGTACACATGACTCATTTGCATTGCGCAATTCAAGGCTTTGTGAAATGTTTGAAGACGGAGACATAAGCGATGGATGGCTTCTTGGGGACAGTGGATATCCACTTCGACCTTGGCTCCTAACACCAGTCATAAACCCAACAACAAGACAAGACCAACGTTACAACAGTTGCCATATGAGAACAAGATGTGCTGTTGAGAGGAGTTTTGGAGTGTTAAAATCTCGTTTCCGATGTATCGATACCACTGCAGGAACATTGTTGTACAGCCCAGTTAGATGTTGTGACATTATAGTAGCTGTTGTTGTTCTACACAACATGTGTATTGACAATAGAATTCCATTGCCTCCAGGAAACGATAATCCAAGAGATCATGGAAACATTGGTGGACAGCAATATGTTGGTATCCAAAATGATGGTGCAGTTATTCGTACTAGATTGATTAATAACAGATTCAACAATTAATAAAAAAAATATTCTTATCCTTCTTTTTTAATCACTAATGGGTTGTTCATTGCATGTATTCTTGTATTCTGATACCTGGATGACTATCTCACAGACATATAACCAATTAAATTTCATTTGGTGGTACAATGTACAAAGGAATTTAACAATTTTTAGGTTTAAAAGAAAGGAAAAGGATTCTTAAGGGACACTCAAACTCACAAGTCGAATATAAAACTGACAAAGACATGGCAAAAAAGAAAAAGAAAATGTCCAAGACAAATAAGAGTATACAAAACAAACCAGTATAGCGATTATCATTGTAAACTTATAGTTTTCAACGGAAATTATAATTGTATACTTATAGCTTATAGTTGTCGAAGGAAATAAGGTTAATTATTTACTAAAATGATAACTATATGATTATTCAAAATTGAACTATGACAAAAAGTATATTTAATCAATATGATAGAAATAGCAATGTATCACTCGTGATCACTGGCTCGATCTGAGTTTTCTGGAATATGCAAACTGATACCAAGTTAGGCCAAACGCAACTGTTCTTTGGCCTGTTCCAGCTGAAGGCGTTGGCGGTCAACAGATAGCTTATCTTTTTCTACGCGAAGTCTTTCCTTTTCAACGGTAAGTCTCTCCTTCAGCAGCCTCATCTTTTCTTCTTTCAATTTCAGTGTATCCTTTTCTACCTGCAGTCTTTCCTTTTCAATATTCAACCTTCCTCTCTCAATTTGAATCAGCTGCTGAGAATCACTATCGTCCATGGTCGAAGCAGTGGTGGTAATATTTCTGGTTGGCGTAGTTCTATTACTAGCCGGCTGATTGATGGTTCTGAAATAGAATGTTAAACATTAAGCTAATTCATAAAGACAATTTTTTGAATCGACAAAATGCATGAAAAGAATAACGTTGATTGACATATTTTGGCGATTACTGTGTGTGTGTGTGTGTGTGTGTGTGTGTGTGTGTGTGTGTGTGTGTGACGTTGTGGTCTATATACACCCACATCTCTTAGTTTTCAGTGTATTATCAAATAGTTGAATAAAAAACAGATGGTTATTAAATATATTTCAAATCTTAAAAAGGACAATCATTCAAAACGGGAAGAATAAATGTATTTCAAGCCAAAATTCGATTAATTGATTATCACATCCAGTGGCAAACATTACAAGCCCATCACGACCGGAGAAAGTTTAAAGACAGGCATGTCGAACCAATCATGTCGTCACCTCCTCCCCCTTTTTTTCGCTCTGTTTTACACAAGAACTATAAGAAAATAAACAAATTACCTGATTCATCTGATGAAGAGTAGGAGCTCCTTCTTGAAGATGAACATGACGGCATCGACAAATCCGTCGACGTTTCTTTAAAAGAGGCTGTATCTATTCCTCCGTCTATTCCATCTATAGGCGTGTCTCCAATAATTCCTACTACCTGATCTTCCATGGAGGAAATGTCTTCTGGGGGAGGACCTCCGCCTGTCTTTCTTGCCTCTCGTCTATTGTGTGCCACTTTCTTTTTGGCGTTGCTCATATATGTTGTCCATTTCTTTTGAATTTCTTCAACTGTTCTTTGGTGGTGGGTATTTGAAGAATTCATCTTTGTACAAATACCATCCCATGTCTTCTTCTTAATGTTATTTGTGGCAACATTTGACAGCTTGCTGAATAGTATTCCTTTATGTTTTTCAACTTCGGCCAGCATAATTTGAATTTCGATTTCGGAAAAATTTGGAGATCTTTTCTTGCTCATGTTGATTCAGTATACGAATTGAAATCGAGTGGACCTAAGTACAAAACTAGTTTATATAGTTAAATTGCAGCACGACAATAGCCTCTAAAAAGTTTTGAGACAATTAATTTAATCGTTTAAAGAATTTTATTCTTTCATTTTAACAGTTTATATTATGTTTCTATTATTATATGTTAAAACCTTTATTTTGTGTTTTTTTTTCATTACAGATGAGACCCCTCCCCCCTAAAAAAACACCAACAAAAAACCTTTAAATATATACAGAAATGCATAAAAATATTTCATTTCATTCACTTCATATTTTATTAATTAAATAAATATGTTAGGATGGTCTTAGGACCATCGTAGTTAGGACTGTCCTAAGATAGCTTTGTTTTACATCCTAAGACATGTCTCAGACACGTCCTAAGACCATCCTAAACAATGTCCTAAGACATATCTTAGGACATGTCTTAGGATACTTTCATTGACACGGCCCCAGGTTAATTAATGTACTAATTTTTCATACTAAAATATTTAGGGGATACTATTATCAAATGACTAGATGTAAGACGAAATATGAATTCTGAAACATATACTTAACGACGATTATATTGTAATTTTATTGCTGTGGTCCTGACCGGAATAAGATTTACACCTTTAATCATTTTTATCAGTAAGAGATAATTTAAAAGTAATATCTTGGTATATGATCATATGAACTTTTAATATTTCTGCTCAATGTGGGAACGTTTTACAAAAATAAAGTGTTATTTTTTGGTGTACATGTACGTGAATGTCATGCTTGTAAATTTTTCAAGTTATATATAAATTGTATTCACGTCGCCAGAGTCCTCGGGTGGGAGATCCACTCATTCAGCTTAAGAGCGGATTTGTGGCAGATTTTTCTCCCCACCTTTGCTATTCTTTGTCATTTATTCAATTGATATGATATTAGTTGATGTAATTTCGTATTAATTATGAACTTTTTTGTCAAATGTTTTATTTGCAAAATGTATTTTTTGCATTTTATGATTTTGAATAAATGACTTTTTTTTCGTCAGTTTAGTTTTTATATCATATAGCTAATCAAGCTCAGACTCTGGCCTGTGTATACATTGTATGTTTATGGTATCTAGCTGTCTGTCTTAAAACCAATTTTATTTGCTAATTGAAAATTAAGCTGAATAAAATAATTTAAGACAGCAGAGAAGATAATTCTGTTATAATTGTTTATTACTAAGACTTAAATAAACATGATAAAGAGTGAGCTATTTATACTGTAAATTTATGATGTTTCTAGTCTGGTCAAAGGGTCAGAGTGTCCTACTTAATCAAACGATAAATTGTTGAAATTAGATAACATGTTTTCACGTGCAGAGATATTTCACTTATGACCAGTGCATGATTGGATTACATCTTACTTATTGGTCAATGATCTTGCGGGGTCAGCACGAGCTCACGTGTAAGTGCGTTGTGGTCACTTCTTTTTACCATCAGCATTTGATGTGTCAACTTGTGATTCTTATCAAACAATTTATTAAAAATTTCCACCCACATACCTCCCTAAATGTTATCTTTTGGAGTAGATATGTACATATGTTTATTTGAGGGGCAGATTTTTCTCCCCACCTTTGCTATTCTTTGTCATTTATTCAATTGATATGATACAAGTTGATGTAATTTCGTATTAATTATGCATTATTATTTCATATTAAATATGAACTTTTTTGTCAAATGTTTTATTTGCAAAATGTATTTTTTGCATTTTATGATTTTGAATAAATGACCTTTTTTCGTCAGTTTAGTTTTTATATCATATAGCAAATCAAGCTCAGAATCTGGCCTGTGTATACATAGTATGTTTATGGTATCTAGCTGTCTGTCTTAAAATTTTAATTTTGCGACTGTTATTGTTTTCGTATTCTTATGTTATAATGCTCGACAATAGACTTTTACACTAAACACGAACTTCAATGTCACACGCTTCTATTCTTATAGCAGACATAGAAAAGTGTTTGACATACGTACCAAACACAAGGTGTTCTATTCTGGTGTTCAGATGACCTTTTGTCGTCTCGAAATCTAAATAAGAAGCCTTTTTGTGACTTAAAATAAGGAGAAGGTTTTCCTGCTCAAACATAAAGTTCACTTTTGAAATTTGTAAAGCTATTTATGCTTCATAAACAAGACTATATTTGCAAGCAAGCTTCGATGTTGCTTTATTTTAAAATATACAAAGCAATAAGGTCATATCAGCGCCATCTATCTTTGACCCAATTGTTTTAGACAACAGCAACGACAAAACAAAATAGATATTTCCCTGCTGTAAGTCATATCAAACAATGCTGATGTTTTTTTCTCAAATAAAAAAAAAAAACATACGTTTTATAGATGAATAGTATGCGGTAAGGGCTTTGCTCATTTTTGAAAGCCGTACAGTGACCTATAGTTGTTAATTTTTGTGTCATTTGGTCTCTTGTGGAGAGTTGTCTTATTAGCAATCATACCACATCATCATATTTTTATATGATAGTCTGACCTAAACAGATGTATGACGAATGTACTCAAGAAGTAGTTTTTTTTTTTGGGCAAAAATGAGGGAAAAAAATGATTGTGAGCGTTAATGATCTCGCAATGATTGGTTTTGCTTGTTTATTTGATATGGTATTGCTTACAATTTGATCTCTTCAATATTTTCTGTATTTTCTGTAACGTAAATTTTGTTATTGAAATTTATCCTAGCAACATTTTGAATTCAAATATCAGGAATCAAAATTGTAAGATGATTCGAATGACCAATTATATTTGACAATTATCAAATAAAAACAAGCAGAAGAAATGGAGAGACAAAAAGAGAAAACCAAAAAGCAGAGTTCTACAAAAAATGAATTATCAACTTGAATCCTCCGAAAAAGAATGCGATTTATATTGAACGACAAAATGCACCTGTCGTATAATATGCATGATTACATCTGTGTGTCATAATTTGATTATGCATATTCAACCACAAATTACTACATTACTATTGGCATTGTTTTGATTGAAATCTGCTGTTATTAAAGTTTCAAAATGATTTTAAATTAAGGAATATATCTTCTTCATGTAAAGCTATGGTTCCCTCTCCGGATTTAGTTATACTTTAAATTATCTTTGATTTGATCAGATATTCAACGTTTGTATCAGGTTTTGAGTTGCATATATGTTGGTCTCGAACTCACTGAAGAGACGAAATGCGCTTCTGGTGCAGTAAAAATGATACCGTTTATGTTAATAGTAGTGGAACTTGTTTTATATTTCTGGGTTTGTTTGGCAAAACTTCTTTTTTATAATATAACCAATAACAAATTGAATACAGTCTACTATTTTGTAAAAAGTACGCACTTAAAAGAGGGACGAAAGATACCAGAGGGACAGTCAAACTCATAGATCGAAAACAAACTGACAACGCCATGGCCAAAAATAAAAAGACATACAGACAAATGATAGTACAGATGACACAACATAGAAAACTAAAGACTAAGCAACAGGAACCCCACCAAAAACTGGGGGTGATCTCAGGTGCTCCGGAAGGGTAAGTAGATCCTGCTCCACATGTGGCACCCATCGTGTTGCTTATGTTATTACAAATCCGGTAAATAGTCTAATTCGGTAAGTCACATTCGTGAAAAGGGAAGGGTATTGTAGTTACGACATAAGGAACATATCCGATATCATCTGTGAAACGGTTATTCCATAACGGTCAACCAACTCGTGATGGCGTCCGTAAAATTTACGAAGGGATGATCTCAACTTCACCATTTGGAACTCTTGGCTTAATAGCTTCCTTGTGAGCAGCACGCGAACCTATTAATCGCTTTTGCTTTGTGATAATAAATATTTGTCATCAATAAATGACCTACAATGAACTGTTGTTGTTTGCGGGATAAGAGGATACCGTATTATGCAATACAAGGTCATTTCCCTATGTAATATAGATAAATTTCTGATATCAATGAAAAACAACACATCAAAGTTATATTGCTCACAAAGTCATCTTAAAATTTGCCATTTTGTTTCATTGGCAATCCTACTATGTTTCCTTATTCATATATAAGTTAATACGATGAATTTAACAGTTTTTGCATAGTTGTATAAGTTTCTTTTATCAAAGAATGGTCGATACCTGTATCAATCCAATATAGTACCTACAACAGCTGTTGTTCTAGTATGTTCTTAGAATGAACAGTTTGATGTACAATAAACTGAAAAATACCTTCCTTTTATTCAATAGCAATTTAAATGAATTGATTCAAAAAGAGTTATTTTCCCGGTACATCTATGAAATTTTATTCATACAACAGTCTAACCGATTTTTGGTGTTTCCTTTTTCTTTCTGCCAATTGAACTGTTTTCCTATGTCAGACAGATATGGGAGCATTTCAGCTAACACAAATATGTTTTTAGATGAATGAGTCACGTCGATATCTACCACAAATGTGCACTACTTTTCTTCTATATTTATTATCCTCAATTCACATAATCTATGAATTTGTTCAATAAGAAAATCGTCCGAAGACTTGTTTAAATTACAAATTGAAGAAAAAATGGACAAAGATAATTGTAGGATGTTTTCAAACCTCAAATAGCCTAAAATTGGCCAATCGTCGCACAGCATTAATTATAAGTCTTAAAGGTAAACATCGAAGCTTACTATTACAGAACTGCAACAGTAGTTTCAAAGTAAAATAATACATATTCATTTATTTGCTATGCTATTTTATATTGGCCAACCAAAACTAATAACTAGCTTAATATATGATGAATGCTCAGAGGATACTTGTTACTACAGTTAAATATGCCAACTTACATTAAATACTGTTTTATTTCATGTGTGGGCAATTATACACAAAACTATGTATAAAGTGCTACCAATATCACAAACTAGTCAAAACATTTACTAAATTTTATCATCGGTACAAGGACATCTTTCGTAAATATAAATCAATATTCAGACATCTTATCCGTTCAGGTATTTCACATCCGATCTTTTATGGTAATATTCTATACAAAGCACAAAAATGTCGTCATTCACCTCAAAAGCTAGCCAAACCTTTAAAGAGGGTGGTAAATGGTTATTTTAGTGCAACGTTTACGGCCTTTTTATTTCACGTGTTTTCGTGTTTTGACGTTTTATTTCTCGTTTTCTCGTGTTTGGTTCGATGTGCGTGCTTCGTGTTTCCCCTTATTTATTTTCCGTTTTTCCTGTCGGTACTCTAAATTTCTCGTGCTTGTCCCGCATTTGATTAAAAAGTAAACCGGGACTAATTCAAAGTCAGCTCATATATTGTTTTAAATTATGTATTAATGAACTGGTTCCAAGGATATTAATTGCTCTCTTCATTAATTTTATTTTAAACACACATTACTATGAATAATATTTTTTTTCAAATCAGATGCAACTAGCGGACGCTAAAAGGTGACCGCAGGGTCTTCATGTCCATTAATAATGACTG